AACTTTCTTCATTTTATTTAACTTTTTTTTTAGTGTTATGAGAAATTTAGAGAATTTTTTCTTAACATTACTTTGCAAGCCTGAACTTTTATATTCATTTTTAAAAACTTTCTTAGTTTAATTTAAGTCCGAAATTTTAGTAGAATTCGATTTATCTCTGGAATCGAAGTATTTCATTCTTTTATATAAATTGATAATCCCACAAGCTATATTTTATTTAAGAAAAAAAACCCTAGAAGGAGCGTTGTCTACACAGGGTAGAGCTGTTCGGACTGTGTCTGCCATATGGTGGCTTTAGGTTTATTAACCCCTAAGCCGTTAACACCTGAGCCCACATAATTTGTCATGCCATTTGAATTTGTACAGCATTCAAATACAAATAGACGGCAAGCCCCCATAAAAGAAACTAAAACTAAAAGAAAGAAAATACGACAGTTGTACAAAAGCTGCGCTCAGCTGCAACCCCAAATTGAATAGGATGAGGAGTGCGAGCACGATTCAATGGAATTTGAAGAGGAAATCATCTTAGAAGAAGTGCCTTGAAGTGGCCTAGACAGAGCTGGGCCCGCAACATATCCGTTTTCCGGCTACCCCTAGCCAAAAGGTGCCGGGCAGGTGACTTTGACTTTGGCTATTAATAAAAATAATAGTTGCGGCTAAAAAGGTGAAGCGGTCGAGCGAGGATCTGCGTACGTGGAGGCCATCACATGAAAAAAAAAGATGTCTTAGGTCAGTTGCCGTCGAGGGCTGCAAATGCGACGTCGACTGCGGCTGCGACTGCAACTGCGACTGCGACTGCGGCTGCTGCAGGTGAAGCTAAGCGAGGGCACAATTAAAAGGCCGACGAGGGATGTGGCAAAAGGCACCTGTGCGCAGGAGCCGGGAAAGGCAAAGGCAATGTTACAGCGGCTCATTTATGTTTATGTCCTTTCGTTGTAAGCAGGCGCTGATTCCGATTCCATTTTGAGCCGCACAAGTGGCGCGCCAGCACCTGCTGAATCCTGGAACCTGTCGTCGTTGTCCTGGCTCAATAATTGTGCGCCAGACGACGCGTGCTCAAATCCGGTTTACAGCAAACATATGCCAGCCAGCTTTTCAGCTCGGCCAAATTACAACAGCAGCGCCTGTTGTAGCCAACCGATACCGGTCCAATTGGCATGGGCCACACGCCATCAACTGAACAGCAGTCATAAAAATCTCTCAGTCGACCACAAAACGGCCAAGATCGAGATCGAGATCGACATCGAGATCGGGCTGCAATCGTTGTCTAATCTAGGCCCAGGCACCTTGAGGGAGTGTGCCGCAAGCTGACGCATGCAAAAAAATACAAATAAACCAAAAACAAAAACAAAAATATAAAACCAAAAACCAAAAGAAGGTGCATCCAACAAAAAGCCAACAACAACAACAGCAATTGCTGCAAGTGCGCCTGCACCTGTCACGCTCATCGATATTACAAGCGGCGGCGGCGGCGGCGACGGCTACGGCCAAGCCAAATGACCCAATTTTCATGGGCCCTACAGGCCTGTAGCCTGAACCAGAGCCTGAGCCAGAGCCAGAGCCAGAGCCTGCTCTCATTTCTTTGTGGGCCTTTTTTTATGTGTTTTTCCTCGCTTGAAATGGATAAGTTATGATTGCTGCACTTTTCTCTCAATAGACATTGTCACCTGCAGCATGAGTTGGGCATTTGGAATATATGCTGGATTGATTGTTAGAGATTGACATGGAGAGGAGACGGGGGGATACACATTAATGGGATACCCTCAGGGCAGCTGAGTATGTGTGTGTGTGTGTTTGTGTGGGGGTTGCAGATGCTGCATTAAAAAGTAATATTTGTTTAACGCTCAGCTTGATTGCTTTCGAATTTTTAGTCCGATTTTTTTATTATTTCATTTATTATATTTTTATTATTATTAATATTAGCATTATTAATATTATTATGTCATCCAAGATATAATATTAGTATAATTTATAATAATATTTTTATGAGAAATAATTTGTATTATTAATCTTAATTATTTATTTTTGGACATTTAGTTCGGACTATCATTGCCCTGATAATTCGTTTCGTTTCTTGCGGGTTCGTGTCCCTCGCTTCCATTAACCTAAGATTTTATTATAGCTATAAATGCTCAATAGATATCTCGCTAATCTTAAGTCCAGCTTCTGGCCTTTGCATTAAAGTACCTTGAGGGAAATGCAATAGGAAACAGTTAAGCTAGTTCGCCCGACCAAATCAGAAGCCAACAGAATGCCAGTCAGCCAGTCAGTCAGAGATTAGCCTTACCTTACTTTGGAAAATCTTAAGCTCGTTCGATTTGAATGCGAACATTGACAAAGGGAAAGCAATGACAAATCCAAGTCAGATATGCAACAACCCCTGCTGTAGAGATGGGTATTGGAAGGCGGTTGGGAGGGCAGCACGAGTCAAGTGGCAGGGAGGGGCGCATGCAAGACAAAGCAGTTTGTGAAATCTATTTAAACAGCTTAATTGGCAAGAACAGCAAGAAGCAGAGACAGCAACTAAAACTTAACAACAACAACGTAAAAATAAAGCAAATAAACAACCCGCAGACAATGAGCCAATCAGCAGCTTAGCCAGAGGGTGCAACAAAACAGGCGAAACCAAAAGCACAAAACCAAAAGCCAAGAGCAGCAATTAAAATGACAAAATCTAAACACAAAATGGTACGGATTTTACCATGTGCCACAGTCAAACAGTCGAACAGTCAAACAGTCAAAAGGTGCAGGCCAATAAGAAGACCCAAGAGTGCAGCCTGTCGCTGCCCGAGCCAGAAACAGAAAATACAGCTACAAAAAAAAAAAGACATTGCAATTGGGTGCAACCACCTGCTGGAATACTCGCTCAAATGTTTTTCAATATTTCGCAAAGAAAATATTGTATTAACTCGAAAAAAGCTTGTCTATCCATATATATTCTCATTCCTCAACCACTTAGACTTAGCCATAAATCTTCACACTTTATAAAGATTCCCAATTTCACATCTTGAAATATGCGAAAATTCCGTTTAAACTGTTAAAGTTATATATTTTACCCAGTATATCTTTAGCAGTTTAACTGATATAAACGGATATATTCGATAATGCAAATATTTAATCTTTCAAGTCCCTGGCATAAATATTTGATCCTCTAACGAACAGCTTGAGGCGCAACAAATATACTCTATTTTCACTTGGCGAGCGAGTATAGAAAGTCGGGCTCAAGGTGTTTTTCTTGAGCAGAAATCAATGTGCATGGCCTAAACACAGATTATAGACAGATTTGGAGGCAACAGACGGCGGCACAAAAGGACAACAAATTGCCGCAAAAGATGCAACACACACACACAAACACGCACAACGAGGACTCTGACTTCGAGTCGGACTCAGACGCGGCCTCTGTCAGAGTCATTATAAGAATTTAAGCGCACCTTTTCATTTTGTCTGCAGCAGATCGAGCAGCGACAGGTGCGCAACGCATGCGCGCCGAGATAAGCCGAGAGAACAGAGCATAGCGGTAGATGGCCCGATGGTCCGAATGTCCGATGGCCCGATGGTAGTTGGTAGATGGCAGGATCCAATGCAGGGGTCCTTCTTGCCGTAAGGCGTTATCCCAAGAGCGCTGCTGCTGCTGTGCCAGATTCGACTGTGTTCGTTCGCTGGCCAAATTAATTCCTTGCCATAATTTATAATTCAACAGATGACACGAGCCAACGCAGAGCAACCGGAGCAGCGGCAGAAGCAAAAGCAAAAGCTTAGCTTAGCAAAAGAGGGTCCTCCGGCCTAAGGTACCGCTTATTGCGGCTCGTTTGTGGCACATGCCAGCACAGGACCTCAACTCCTGCTGCTGCTGCTGCCATTTTGGCTGCCTCCTACAATGGGCATTGCCGACTTGCAGCCGCATTTGATCAAGCCGATCTGTCTTTGTGCTGCCAGCAAAATGTAGAGTATGCTGGGTTCGCTTTCGCTCTGCGCAGTTTGTTAAGCGTTTTCGGTCAGCTTGCGGTTCTTGGAGTCCTTTGGCACATTAGTTTATTTATTTGAAAATGCAAGAGGTTTTTTTATATTTGGAAAAAACAGTTTGTTGAACCTTTCGCTGATGACAATGACCTTTTCTATGCACTGCGCTGCTCCGGCCAAAGGGTTGGCGGTTCAGCACCCTATAACTGCATTTTTGGACAAACTACAGTTACAGTCGAACCCGAGGCAGCGAACTCTACAGGTGGAAATTGTCCGCATGTCACACTAATTTCTCAAGAGTCCCTTTGTGGGTTTGTTGATTGTTTGCCTGCTTGTTCCTTTTGTTGCACAGTTGCATTCGCAGTGTAAATTTGCTTCTTTGTTCAACAAGTCCTACGAATTGTGTTTATATTTGAAGCGTTAGTTTTGGGTTCGGTTTCGGTGTCAGTTTCGGTTTCGGTTTCGGGACTCTCAACTACTGCCTTTTGTGCCAATATATCAAGCGCATAATTACCTGATAAACATAGCGACAAGTTATTTGCAGAGGCATTGAACTGCCTCGGCAGGATCATTTGAGTCTTGGAAGTTGAATGAACTGCTCAGAGTTCAACCACTTGACAGTCAAATTGGTAACAATTATGTGACTTCTGATGCCAAATATGATAATTAATAAGAACTTAAAGTTTAAATATGTTTTTGCAACAGCTTAACCCGAACGGACAGCGTGAAAAAATTTAATGTACATTTTAGTACAATAAAATAAAAATAATAAAATATAAGAAGTAATGTAATTAATTATATACAACTTGTAATAAGGCTCTATTTTAAAACTTGCACTTACCGCTTTCTAAATCCTAATTTGAATTTTGTTTGTATTTGAAATTTCAATAGTAGCGCGCCAATTTACCGCACACTGCACTTTTAACAGAGCTTATTTACGATCTTTCGACCCGTTTATGTTAACGACTTACAGATGTAATGTTAATGTAAAGACACGAACCGGTTAATCGAACTCTTTTATTTCGCGCGTTTTTCACAAATTTGGCGCTACATTCAGCAGCTGCCATAAAAATAGCTATTTAATGTGTTATCCACATTATTTATTTTGCTTATCTTAACTTTCTCCATTGGGTAAGTACACTTTATATTGCACACATAAAAAAAATAGATTTTTGCACTTGTAATTAATAAATTAAAACAAATTTGACGCAGCCGACGCGTCTTTCTGCCACTTCACTTCACACACAACTACTCTGCATCCTTTTATGAGTATGTATGACAGTGTGCGACAATGCGAAAGGCGAATTAGCATAAAGAGCAAGGCAACACTTCTGAGTACCGTTAGAAATGAGCAAAATAAAGCAGAAACGAAAACCAAAACCAATTTTGAGTTGTTTTTGGCCTTTGTGCGTTTTAACTTTGCTTTGCATCACGCGTGATAATTGTGCACGTAAATATACATATGTATGTATAAATACATGTATATATATAACGGATGCATGTATATATGCAAGAAAGTGTATGTAGGCACATTTTATTATCTTATGTATGTATGTATGTATTGGTCATGTATGCAGATATTTGCATTCACATAAGCAAATGGATATGTGCGTGTAAGTATGTATGTATGTATAGGCATGCATGACTGTATATATGAGTCTGCATATATTAACATGCATATATGTGTGTACATACATACACATATGATTTGGGATGAGAGGGATTTGTAAACAGCTAGTTCTGGGCGCAGTGACATAACTTTTGTGTCTTCCCCTCCCCCACCCCAAGGAGCAGCAGCGGGCATGCCAAACAATTTGCGAGAGAATCAATCAGCAGGTGGCCAGAGCGGAGCTGGGCCGTCTATTTGCCGTGGTCCATTTGTGTGGCAAGCTATTTAGGATAACTCCCGGCGACATAATCCTCGTCGAGGGCTACTGGCCGCCCACGATAGGCGATGAGATTAGCCTGGACAAAGTGCTGCTGGCGGTTGATTGACCCATAATCACATAGGTATATATATAATTATCCATGTCGTAATCCACTCTACAATCTTTTTTGTTTTCAGAGATGTGTATTAATATAAATATATATATAAATCGGATCGTATAAGGAAAGACATATGAAAATGGAAATTTGTGAAATCTTTGGGTAAGTCAAAATTTATATACTTATTTTTGTGGGAATATATTTTAAGGCAAGTCAGACCAGGAAATCGCTTGATATTATAATGCTAGTTTTTTAAATTGTCCGTGTAAATAATAGAGTTTCACTTTGTTCAAGACTGCTTCCAAATTGAAAACAGAGATTAGATAATATGAAGAATTCTCTTTCTTGAAATGAAAACTATAAATGGAATGTTCTAAGTTGGCTTTTAGGCAGATGTGGAAAAGTGTTTTTGTCTCTGGTTTGACTATGGGAAAACAACGTTTACAAAAACTATTCATATAATTAACTTATGTTTAGGAATAATTGAAGTATGCACAAGCTAAAGCTTTAGTCAAAGTGCAAGCTTTCTAATCGACTTAAACGTTTGTCCAGCTGCGTCAAGAGGTTGAAAATCTCGTCAAGCTGAGCGGCACAGCTGCAGCAATCCGAGCCCGAATCCGACTCCAGCGACACATCCAATACCTGCGGAAGGTGTGCTCGTTATGCTCTGGGCTTGCAGTGGGATGAGGCAGCTGTGTGTGTGCGAGTGTGTTTGGGTCAGACTAGTTGAAGAACGGGGTGGTATAGTTGCTCTTTAGCTCGAGGGACAACTTGGGTTCACTGCGACCCGAAAGTTTGGGGCCTGACAACTTGGTGGCACAATTGCTGCTGCCCAGCGGTGTCTGATGTTTGGAGTGTTGGCTATCAACCACCTGGAAGTGCTCGTCCAGTGCCCGATAGGCCAGAGATTCACGCGGATCGATGCGAATGCTGAGATCATTGGATGCTTTGGAGTTGGCGCCGAGGCTTATTTTGGAGCTCGAGCTGGTGTCGCAGCAGGACGTGGAAAGGGATTTCTCCTCAAACTGTGAGGCATCGTAGGTGTGCAAATTGGATTCCCAGATGAGCAGCTGTAAAGATTAAGGAACATCGTCAAGCATTGTTGGATTAATAGGGAAATGAACTTCCACCTGGCGATCGCTGCCCGCGGTGGCAAACTTGTTGCCGTCCTGGGTGAAGGCAACCGCATTCACCGCATCCGTGTGGCCAGTCAGCGTGTATATGGGTCGGCCCTCGAGCAAGTCCAGAATGCGTATGGTCTTGTCATCGCTGCCGGACAGCAGAAAATTGCCGCTCGGATGGAAGGCCAGATCGTTGACGGGCGCCGAATGCACCACGTAAAGCTGCAGCAGCTGGCTGTTGACCACATCGAAGACCTTGATGCGATTGCAGCTCAGGGCAACGGCCACCATGTTGCCCCACGGATGCCAGGCGACCTGACGCGGTGCGGCACGCTCCTCCGTGAAGGTGCGCACACACTCCCCGGTGCTCACCTCGTAGATGCGCAGCGACTTGTCGTCACTGACGCTGGCTATCAGCTTGCCGTTCGGACTAAACTTGGCGGCACGCACCCAATTGTTCTGCTGGGCAAAGGAGGAGATGAACTGTCGCCGCGACACGCGCCACAGCTTTACCGCCTTGTCGTCCGAGGCGGTCAGCAGCAGCTGCCCGGTCGGGTCGAAGTCGACGCTGCGCACGGGCTTGCTGTGGGCCAGAAACTCGCCGGAGACGCCGCGCACCTTTGGCTCCCAGATCTTGACAGTGCGATCCTGGCTGCACGAGGCTATGAAATTGCCCTTGGGCGACCAGCTGACGCCGTAAACGGCCGCCGAATGCGAGGCAAAGCGAATACAACGCGCCGCCTGCTTGAGATTCCACAGTATAACCGTGGCGTCCATGGCGCTCGTCGCGATCTGGTGGCCATCCGGGCTGAAGCGCAGCTGCGTGATGTTGCCAGTGTGTCCGGTGAAATGGCGTTCCAGTGCCGGATCGCGAAACATTTTGCTCTCCATACGTTTTTTTTTTACCTTTATCAAATTCGTTGACAGCAACAAATTTCCGCTTCAGTTTGAAAACATGAAGTGCGTAGCGACGCAGGCTTCGACTGTGCCGATAACATATGCATAGCAGAGAGCTCTTGAGCGCGTGCACATGGCACGCAGTGCTGTTAAGTGTTAAGGCATTTAAGCTATGCAACACTGTCGATAACATAAAGAGGTTGCGGTGCCGCTTATTTTGTTATCGTTTCCATTCGGCACACTTCTCTCGCACGAAACTTTGGTAATTGCAATTTTATTGGAATTTGCTGTCTAAAAAGTGGCAAAAGTATGTCATTGTTAGCACAAAGCGTGCGCCAAGCGCTGCGCCACACAGCACAGCGTTCCACATTAAGCGGTAAGCTTGCAAACAGCCAGTTCTGGGCGCAGTGACATAACGTTCCCGTCTCCCCCCCTCGCCCACGGCAGGTGCACTGCGTGCCTTGAGCCTAGGCCCAACATTGCAGCAGCAAAACAAACCCGCGCCGGCTACAATCGATGTGTCCGCTATTGCCAAGGAGCATCAGCGGGAATGCCAAACAATTTGCGAGAGAATCAATCAGCAGGTGGCCAGAGCGGAGCAGGGCCGTCTATTTGCCGTAGTCCATTTGTGTGGCAAGCAATTTAAGATAACTCCCGGCGACATAATCCTCGTCGAGGGCTACTGGCCGCCGACGATAGGCGATGAGATTAGCCTGGACAAAGTACTGCTGGCGGGAGCCCGCGATTTTACGCTGATTGGCCGACCCATACTGGAGCCGGGTCTGGTCACGGTAAAGGCGACGATTATCGAGAAGACGCTAACGCACACAAAAACACATTTCAAAAAGAAGCGCAGGAAACAATACATGCGCATTAACTTCCAGCGCTCGCCCAACACCATGATCCGCATCAACTCCATTGAGCTGACACGTCCGGTGGATGGCGGCGGCGAGCCGGATGCGGAGCCCTCGAAGCGGCTGTTCTAGGTAACGGCTTTGCCTTATTGAATTAAATATATGTGTTAAAATGATATATGAAATGTGTTAATTATTTAAAGCAACACATTTAATTTTCATTTATTCACATTTTCAAGAAAACCCCAGATATTGTGTTTCTCCCAGTACAAAATCCACCCATAACATTAACAGAGCATTAACATTTGTTATACTGTTGCCTCTAACATCTGCTATACATTAGCGGCACATGTCCGTTATATAGCTTACTTTGTTAAACAACACTGGCGCCAAGCTGTTCGTTTTTTGCCATCTGGCAGCACTAGCGACGGCGCCCATTTCAAATTTTGGGCGCAGTCAAGCAATATTGGCGTAGAGATTTTTATCGTTGTGCTTGACGTAAAAACTCAAGCACTTTAATCAATTCAAAATTCTACTTTCATCTTGATTCAATGCCTTGCCTTTTGGCTAGGCCTTTATAATTTGTATAAACATTCATTTGAGGCATATTTGCCAAACGGCAACCTACTTTAGCCCCAAAACGCAGTCGCAGCCGCATTTGCAGTCTCTAATGAAGCGGCTGCGGTAACTGTTGCAATTTTAATGACAACCCTTTATCAGGCATGTGGTTGTTGTCATCTTTCATTAAAAGGCGTCGCCACGTCTGGGGGGCAACACACACACTCACACACACATGCACCTGAACACACTCGGCTTTTCTTTATCAGCAGATGTAAGTTGGTTGCCTGCGCGTCGTATTTGTTTAAGTTCTGTTTCACTTTTGCTAAGCAAAAGCGTTTACTTTTAAGCTTTTGCTTTTTGCCTTTTGCAAACTTGCACACGTTTTCCCTGGCCCCATTTTTTGTTCTCTGCCCTTACTGAAGCGTTAATATGAGGAGTGGCACATGCGGAAAGTGCAATGAATTAAAAAATTGTCATCTTTTTATGGGTCATTTTACACATACTTCAGGGTTGCAAACCGGTTCGCAACAATGTCTTGTCTTAAGATTCGATACGTGAACCTGCTTTGCCACATCTAGGTTTGAGCCGTGATTCTTCATTTTATTTACCTGTGTTTGCTTATTAAGATTTTGTTCTTCCCTGATTTGATATAAGTTTCGGTTCAGGTTAAATATTATATTGGATGTTCGATTAAACCCCAGTTTAGTTTCTCGAGATTCATAATTCGCTTACCAACACTTAAAATGTTGTCACCCAAATGTTTTTCCGTTAATTTGCTGTCATTTGGATGATAATTTAATGTGAAGCCTCGTCATGTTGCTGCCAAAAATAAAATCACTTTCGCCTCAGCTGCCTCTGTAAACTTGATAAATGCCATTAAAAATTATGTATATATTGTAGCACAAACCCTCTCCCTGGTTGGCTGCCACATCATCATTTTGAAATTTTGAAATTGCAGCTGCCAGGCGCAAATTCAATTGCGCGAGTCTCTTGCCAAACAGTCGACGGGAATGTCAATGTGCTGCACTTTGCCAACTTGTCGCAAATCAAATTTCAATATGGCAAAAATTACGTTTGCTAACGCAAATTGAAACATTTTCGTTGCGGTTAGTGGAGCATGAGGCGGCGGGTCGGGATTGGTTTTAGGACAGGTGTAAAGTAAAAATCAGCCCCTACGCCCGATTCGGTGCCATGCTGATTATGTTATTTACCTTATGAAAATTGCATTTGATGTTTGGAATAAACGGAAATTGCCGCCATGCGGATGTTGCTTCACTTATTTGTTGTGGTCCATTCCCACCTCCAACTGCTGCTCAAATTCCAAACACCAGGCCCCGGCTACAATTGTCCGGCCGACACCCTCAGCCAGGCGAATCCCATGTAAATGCGATGCCCAAGTCGCAAAAATTTCCCTAAATTTATGCGTTGCGGCGTCTCTGATATAAGAGAAGGGGGGCGCCGGGTTGCGAGCTGGGTGTGCGGCAGCCAAAGGCTGGCAACCATGGTAGCCGCTCTCATCCATCAACGGCATCACTCAGTTTTGACATATCATTGAAATCTTAGCCCAACGTCGTCATCAACTGTGACGTTTCATTAACCTCTGCTCCACAATTGTTGTGGAAGGGAGCTGAAGAGGATGGACGGATGGGCGCGGTGGGCGGGGGAAGTGTTAATATCAACAAGCGACGAGTGTGCGACGCAATCTACTGATTTCCGCTTAACCAAGCCAAACATTGCATTTTTGATTAGAGCTGAAGTCGGCCCTAAGCCGTAGCCCGAAAATGTTGCCGCAGGCAAACCAGAAACACGCCAGGAATCTGTTGGGAGGGGCGTGGCAATGTTGCTGCTTTCGCTGCTGGGGAAGTTGATGGAAGGGTGGGCGGGCCGGAACAGGCAACTGTTTGATATGCTGGAGGAGGGGGGTTATCGCATTTGGGGTGGGACTACTGTTAAGATCGATAGCAAGAAAATAATGAGGGAAAAGCTTGTTATTCTCTTAT